AAAAGCAGCTGTCTCCTAGCTGAGGACACTTTTTATTGAAGTATTCGCAGATATGGGCGGCCAACACTGCAGTCAGCTAAAATCCCTTATTACCTCCGACAAGGAGCTTATGTTTGTAGTCGAGTTTATGAGTGTGTGTCTGTCCATATACAGGATGACTTGGAAAAAGTATTTTAATGACATTTTTACCAAATGTTTACCTCAGTCCAAGGAACAATATGGTGATCATTCACATTATAATCTGGATGCAAACATTTTTTAAAGGCCTCTTCAACATTATTTGCTGGAACAAGCAGGGCCCCCCTAGGATGGCAGCAGTGACTAATGATAGCTTCAATTTTTGACTATTAAGGCCGGGTCACACCGTTTGCATACGACTTTTTACTCTCCGTTCCGACTTTTTTTCCATGTCACACTGGCTGCATATAGAGAGGCTTCTACTGCGCAGGGTGAGCAGATTTTTGCAGATTTCTTTTTCAGTTCTCTCTCTGTGCCACATAAATTAATACAATTTCCCATATTTGACTTGGACAGATTATGAAATGTTAAAATTAGTATTAATAAAAGCACAGGAGCAGCTATAAAGCAAAGCCCCACTTAGCGAGTATGTGCAGCATCTCAAACCAGAACAGTTTAATGAACTATATTAAAAACATAATGAGAACTGCGTTTAAAGGAAAGGAAAACTCAGAAATAAAGGCTGTGGGAGAGTTTAAATGGTGTCTGAGGCAGTGAGAGGGGATTCTTAGAGAGAGATCTAGGAGGTTTGTTGAAGTTTTACTTATTTTATTAATTAAAAAGGTGGGAGAGATACGCTGCCCTTACCTGTTCTGTCTGCCCCTTATTATTTTGTTTTTTTGCGAGGCTCAGAGGATCACTACTTGATCACTTTTCTGTCCTCCTGAACTCATGTCATTGATTAAAATACCCTTTTTTAATGTGTCATTTATTGTTTTTGCAGGAGTCTGTCCCCCCGAGAGTAAAACATTTGGTGACGATCCAGAATATAAACCAGTTTTAGCTATAGATTTTAAGTCACAATATGGGGCAACATTTGCTGCTTGGCGGAGATTTGCGCTCTGAGTGCTGTTTTTAGTTTCACATTGTAACTATCAACAAATGGATTAATTCTCAAAACAAGGAAACATTCATCGATGCAAACAGACGTTAATTAATTGGTAATGGTTAAAACTTTTTTTGCTTTAGTGCTGATGAGTTGGAGCTCTTTTATATATAGGATAACAAGGTTGAATCCATTGAAGTGCTTACTTTCCTATAATTGCTAGTTTTTATTGGTCAGTGTTAAAACCTAATAATCTGATGTTGGGCTGGGTCAAAAAATCGATTTAATCGATTTTGAATCGATTCCTTTATATTTTTGCGATATCGATGTCTAGGGAATGAGATCGATTAGTTTAAGATGCGTGACGTTCACATTCAAATGAGCAGGAAAGATTACTTCAAGCCAAACAGCTGCAAATATAGCCAATGAGTTGACTGGACACATTAACAAATGGGGGCTGACCAGCAAACACCCTGTAGTTGTTACAGAGAAAGCTGCAAATATGGTTTGTGCAGTGAAGATAATGCAGCTCATGCATGTCGGCTGTGTCCCCGCTATGTCACGTCTGCTTGCCCGATTGTGGCTTCACTTTTTCACTTTTCACAAACAAGTTTGCACTTATAAGACAGTTTTGTGCACATCTCAAGTTGAAACTGTCTGATTTACAAGTTTGCACTTTGTGTTTAATGTGACAGTAAAAAATAAAATACATGAGTAATTTTAAAACACAGTTGAACCACTTTCATTATTGTAAAAACAGATCGAATCGAAATTAATCAATTTAGAACTTTATTAATCAAAATCCAATCGTTTCAGGACTTGGGCGAAAATACCCAGCCCTAATCTGATGTAATTTATTTATTTAAAAAAAAATGATGATTAAGATTTAATACACACCCTTCAGCGACAATTAAACACAACCCACTAAACTTCATTTTAGATGTTTTTTACTGTATGCACTTTTCCTACCTTTCTGATTCTGTTTCAAAGTTCCACAGGTACAACAAGCTGATAGTAAGCCAGGCTAACTGTAGTTGTCTGCCTCACAGATGTACCACTCCTAGCTCTTTCACTAAATTTAAAACACTGTTGTGTTTAATAAAGGTGGCGAATGGCACACCTAGAGTTTCCACCCTGACTGTCCAGCCTTTCACAACGGGACCATTTCCAAACAGTCCATTTGTCCTTGTGAAAGGCAAAGGAAAATTATAGGAATCTTATTTTTACCAGCAGACTGGCTTAGGGTTTCATTGGCAGCTTATTCATTATATTTAGAGGTGGTTAGTGTAACCCAAAATTTTACTCTAGTATCCAAGAAATTACTAAAGTAAAAGTCAAAGTATTTGGTAAAAAGGCTACTAAAGTATGACGTACTGAGTACCTCCTCAGGACATCTGACATTTAAACTCTTGTAATAAACCAACCAGTTACATGAAACTTCTGGTATTTTAAAGACTATCTATTAAAATGAATAATGTGACTGAAAAATAACAATTATAGGCAGAAGAAACAGTTTTTTGATTAATTTCTCTTTATGATAGAGTTATAGCTTTTTGTATTTTAGCTTGACCTCCAAATGTCACAGTATGTTTAAGTAAATTTGTGCACAAAAAAAAATAATTTTGACATAAACCGCATTAAACACTTTAGAAAACAAACAAAGTTTATTTAGTGACTCACAATGGATGGAGTAGTCACACATTTAAGTCACGTTAGAGTAGCAATAATTAACAAAAAGAAAATATAAGCAAGAAAAAATAAAAAGTACAATAAAGTAAAACTCAAGTGAGTAAATGTAACAAGCTACTATCACCTAATATTATATTAAAGGTTTGGAAACTTCTTTTTAAATTACCATTATTATTATAATATAAATATATACGTTCACTTTGACTTAATGATTTTTCTAAAGTTAGATTTGAAACAAAATCTTTTTTTTTTTTTTTTATGTTTCACACCATTAAACAAACTAGCAGCAAAATGCTCAAGAGAAAATAAATCAGTTCACTGAAAATATATTAAGTTACGTTAACGCTATTGTTTCATGTTAGGAGGTTAGAACATAAAACAATTATGTTAAAGTAACTGAATATGATTAAGGAGATGCCAAAAATGTCATCTTTTTTTTCTTCTTTGCTCTCACACTGAAGTCATCAGTAAGCTGCATAAACACTCTTAGAATATAAATCCAGATGAAAGATCCACTTTTATGACAAAGGTCTGATGGCATGGTGTTAACTGCAGCAGTGAACCTTTGTTGGCGGGTCTTTGAATGGTTGCCAGCTGAATTTCCCCACAGTGCAGAGCTCATAAAAACTCTGCCTTTATAGATACGCTGAGGGGCTGCTTCAGGTGTTCACAGGAGGAGCAAGGAATGAGGAGAGGGGGGGCTTCTAGGGATTTCCATTTTTGTCCTTTTTATAAATTTGCTTTCATGAAGCCTATAAAATAACTTCTATTCATTTAAAGAGTTAGAAAACGATACTGGAAGCTGTCAAAACTAAATAATTGTTCTTTTTACAGTCACTATTTATTGGCAGTGGCGTCATATTTTGCAGCAGTTCCTCCTTTATATCAGCGTCTCTTTACAATCTAATTTTAATATCATATTTTCCCTTTTTTACCTTGCTTGGGTTTTCCCTCTTTTCATTTATTTTTTATTTAAACAGAAAAAGGAGAGATGCACAGTACCAGGTTATAACACAAACTTGTAGTCCCTGACCAGGCTGAATATGATAAAATAACATCTATTTATTTCCTTAAACGGCATAAAATAATTGCATACTGCACATCCATTCATTTACCATTATACTATCCCAGACACTCATTTTCAATTATATGAACAACACTATGATGAAGTGAATCACAGTGTGAAGAATTAGCATTTCTATCTTTTCAAATCAATCCACTTTGAATAGTGCAATAAACTAGAGCAGAATAGGATGTGTTGTTGTATAAATCAACCTCAGACGTTACAGAACAGCCCCTTTCACATTTATTGGCAATGTATAAATGTATGAAATTAATTAATCTTTAAGTTTTTCATCCAACAGTGTATTTATTTAAACTTTTAAAATGATTACTGTTTAGATTATTTGGGACATTTATGCATATTTCCTCACAGCATTTCCTCATTTCTAAAGATCAGCACATTTATGACTTAATCTCATTTAATGTTCTCGTCTTTCCCATTTTAAAGATTAGCTGTATTTATAGCCCAGTCAAGCAAGTTGACTATTTCACATTAGACGTCACTTAGACAACGGTGAACTTAACAAGTGTTGGAGTTTTGTATCGGGGAAAACAAACAAGAAGCATTTTTACTTTTATATTTTTTCATTTTTTTCATTCAAATTTGTATATTTTTTTTTATGACTTTATGATAAAAGATTGATTTATTTTTTGCCTTGCACGCAGTTTTTTTGCATTGAATGTTATTTTTTCAACTATATATTCTTTAAGGGTAACTCAATTGCTCATCGCTTTAAAAAAAATGGAGTTTGCCAGCAGTTATGAGTCAGGCACTGATTAAATGTTTTCAAACACAAATGTACTCCGTTTTATTGCTCCCTTACGGGCATGATGCGTGGTGGATTTATTCCTATTATGAAGTTCACATCCATTATTTCCATCTGAAGGATTATATCTCCCCACAGGGGATTCAGATTATTATTTTTCTGATGTTGTCCATCTAATAACTCATCCAAATATGTCAGTTTATGGAGTTAAAGGAGTTAAAAAAATAAAACATTGGATATTTTTGCACCGGATATGTTTGTCAACTCGATGTCTTCCCCTTAAAATGAACCATTGTTAAGAACTCACTTTTGCTACAGTAATAAGCGTATTGGCCCTTCATGAGGTTCATAAGCAGCCCCAAAAAGCAGTAGCTACAGTTGATAATATCTAATCTTTTATTTTGGTTGTTCTGTTTCAGGCGTGGCAGCTGAGATTCAGCCATCTGATTGGCTACGGGGCCAAGTACTACTCGTACCTCATGTCTCGGGCCGTGGCCTCCATGGTGTGGAAACAGTGCTTTGTTCAGGATCCGTTAAACAGGTGAGCTAATGCTTGAGTTAAATGATTAAAAACGCATATAAGCATTAAATGATGCTCATTGATATTATTGGATCAGTTTGGGTAAGAAAGAGTGTAATGTTCTGACACTTATTTTTTTCTTTTCACCTTGTTTCTGAAATAGAAATATTGTCTACATCAGTTCAATCCCAAAAATAAAAATACAAGGTTTTTATGACCGTAAAAATGGACCCTGAAAAAATCAATATTCAGCAAAAATTATTTTAGCATCAGCATTTAATCTTTTAAAACGTTTTCATATGAAATATATGTTGAATTATTAATACAATAATGACATTTTGTCATATTACATCGAAAAAATTCCCTGTATTTATTTATTTATGAAATACCAACGCAGTTTTGGTATGTAGTTCTGAAGCAGTAGTTACTTTTTTACACCTCTGGATCAAGTTAAAGTCTCATCCTGATGCTGAAGAACATGAAACTGGAACCAGCAGCTTTCTGCTGAAATTCCCACATCCAGAACTAACATAAGAAGCTGCACACACACAAAGCACTGCATTATTTCTGGAATTCAGTCCTTCTGATGTATCTCAAGTTTTCTTTTCTAAAATTTGCTTTTCAGGGTTGTTTTTGTTTCACCCAACATTGCAGCTCAGTTTTCCAGCTGCTGGCATGGGAGAGAATAAAACTCTATAAAACCTTTTCTCCTGTCCCTCCTCATCTTTTTCAGGGAGATGGGTGAGCGGTACCGACGGGAGATGCTGGCCCATGGAGGAGCCAAAGAGCCGATGCTGATGGTGGAAGGCAAGTATAAATGTTTTTCATACGTAAAGGATTGATTTTTTTCTTCAGACACATCAAACGCACAAACAAGGTTCTGCAGCATTTCACTGAAAGGATTTCACTGCATTCTTTCTTATCAGGAATTAATGGCTTATTATGCCAGCTCCTTGTGGCAAGAGTGAAATAAGGCGTGTCTAATTACTTCACCAGTATGCTGGGGAATTTGTTTAAACGTGCTGGACAAACTCTTTGGGTTTCTTGTTTTTTTCTCTTGATTAAAGAAGAAAGAAACTTGCTTTGAAAGCATAGAGGCAGCTCATCCAGCTGCAGTCTATTCAGGTGTTCACAGCTGTTGTGGTTTAACACAGTCTGTTCCTCTGTGGTATATACTTAAAAGTTAGACACACCTCACAGGGTTTCTTATCTTTGTTTACAAGAGCTTTATTGTCCCAGAGCCAAAGCTAGCCCTCCTCTGTGGTATTAAATATAAAGTGTGCTCTCTCTCACTGTGCAGACCAAAGCAAGGAAAGAAGGATAGGTGGAAACTGCTGATTATAGGTTTTACTGTCTGTATTCTCCACTCTGCTGACTTTACATGGCTGACAACACGTTGAATGAACCAATCTTCAGATGAACTACATCAGTGTGGGACATGTTAATAATATTTTACTGCTGAGTGGCTTGTTCTGGGCCTGGGGCTAGCTGACTGCTTGGTCCTGAGGCTCGTCTTTGTTTTGGAATTGGCTGATGCTCAATCTCATCATCTTCTTTAGGGTCACTTACTTCAGTCCTGTTTATAAAACTTGTTTGGAGCCACAAATATCACTTTAAAAAAAGAGAAAAATATGATAATTAAGGGAGAACATGCTATGAAATGCTTTTGTTTGTATATTAATTGCTCAAAACAATAGCCATCTCTTCATCAGTTTTAGCCAAAGTGATGAAAAGCCGATGTTGAGTCCCTAAAGAGCCCCTTGCAGCTCTGGGGCCCCATGTTTCAGACCTCTGGTTTAGGCAGTTGCTTGTTGCTATAAAATCAACATTGCTTCACATCCGATTAGCTCCGCCATTATTTATTCTTATTCTAAATACCAAAAGAAAAAGAAAAACACCTACATTTGTGGATTTCCTTTATTATAACAAATCTGCTTATTATAAAAAAAAAAAAAAAACCTGCAAGGCGCACAGTTCAAAGCCAATGCGACAGTTCTGGTAACACCTCGCTACAACATATGATCATAAAGTGTTTTCTTATCACACCTAAAAACTGACAACATCCTGTTCCCTGTCTTTTGTCTGAAGCTTTTTTTCTTTTAAACATTTTTGTTGCTTTGCACAGCCACCCAATATTTTGTCATGTTTTTAGTTTCTTTTGAACCCTACCAGTCATTTGGATTAATGGCTTTTTAAAATTGGTTTTGTATCTGTCTTAAGATCACAGAAACTGAATCAAAAGTTTATTAGAATGCCTCAAAACATTTTTTGTAAAGTTTTAATTTAACTTTACCTGTAATGTCAGATTTTAAGAGTAACACTGTCAATCAAGCTGTTTTACTGTCACCTTTTTAATCTTAGCTGGATTGACTGTGTGCAGCTGTGTTCTCTAAGGCTGAATACCTCCAGGTCCATCACATACAAACGGCTCTGAAGATGAGTCTGTAGATTAGCTGATTTACTGCCGTTCTAGAGTACTTTGAAATCACACAGGAAATGCATTAAATTAACTCATCAATGTTTAAATTTGAATAAGGATTGTTTTTTTTATACATTGGTACTATTTCTGTCTCTAAAATAAAGCGTTTTGTGAAAGTGGCTAAATAAAGGGGCTCTAGATGGCTTTGATATTTACTAATAGCTCAGTTTTTTTCTCCCATCTTTGAGTCATTTAAGCAGGATTTACGGTGACGAAGATCGGGTTGTAATATCATGACATTTGGTTGTGCACATCATGTTTACTGGGTCAATTCTTTAACAACTAAGACATTTTTACATTTATTAATCCAACTTTATCTAAGGCCTTAAAAAAATCACAAAAAATTATTTTTTTCCGTATCAGCTCTTAAATTTAATTGGTTCCTCATGTTTATTTCTTACCTAAGCATCTTTTTCCCCTTGTTCTTGCTGGAAACAGTCTACGTTTTGTAGTTTTGGCTGCAGTAACATGTCGGGATGTCCTATACAAGATTTCTTATAATCAAGAACGAGTACAAGTGTTCACATTTAGCACTAAATGTTGTATCCGATGTGGGCTTATTGTAAATTATTGGGATCAGACACGAGAAGCTCAGGTTAATGTTATTTCCATCCTCGGTGGTTAAGATCAGCTTCTCTTCTTCTCCCCGCTAATTCACTGAGCAGAGCAATTCTGAAAATTTGCTGCTGCTCACATCTTAGCATAAACTACTTTTTTTTATTATGATTATGCTTAATATTGTTCACTTAATGAGATTATTAAGTTATTTTAGTAATTTAATTTTAAAAGTAAAGACTATACAAGTTACACATTCTGATGTTTCAAGCTTTTGTTTTGGTTAATAATTATGATTTTCTAGCTACAGTTCATGGAAACCTGACATTACAGGTCGAACAATGTGCCAGACCAATAAATGCAATAGTTAAAACATGGGCTTAATTGATAGTATATTTAATGCCTGCTTCAAGCTTATTTTTACAGGGTAACTGTCATTTTAGAATGAATTCTAATTTGCTACAAATATCTATGTGTGAATAATAGATATTTTATATTGATCTTTAAAAGTCTTTTAATAATTCTTATGGTTTCTTAAATTACATTTTAGAGCAAATTAGGTTTTTAATTTCAACTTAGTGGAGTTTTTTTTATATGAATGCAATTGTGAATTAACATATAAATGCATTTTAGTTCAATTTAGTTTATTTATTTAGCAATAGTTCAGATTGCATGTCATCTCAAGGCACTTTACAGAGACAATTCAATTGGATCAAAATGTTGGATTGGTTGAAAGTTTTCTATCCAAGGAAAATCAGCTGATTGCATGGAGTCTTTGACTTTGCAGGATTAGCTCCTCCTGGATAAGCATGTGGAGACAGCAGATACTAACTCTCATTGTGTTGACTCTACACCATTACCTTGAACTGAGCATGCATGCAGCGACAGTGAAGAAGAAAAACTCTGTTCTAACTAGGAGGAACCTAAAGCTGAACCAGGCTCAGTGTTAATGGCCTTCTGCCAAAGCTGATTGTGGGTTCAAGGAGACAGAAGCAGTAATACAAAAAAGGAACATAGAAGCACTAATCCATAAATAATTTAATAAATAAAGTAGCTCAATAGGCAGCTATGTCTGGGACTGTTACAGTTGGGCAGACAATCTCTGAGAAGGAAAAACAGCACACATAACGCATGAAAAGATTTACTTTTACATTGTCGTGTTAAAGCTCTTTTACTAGCATGATGTTTCTATCTATTTAGGTCTTTCAAGAAAACAGGGATTTCACACAAGTGGTCATGAGTTACTGCTATGTATAGTCAGATATTTGATTAGCAATAGGCAAAAGTGCATGATTGTGATCAAAAGATTTACTATATTAGACAGCTGGAGATGGGCATCAGCACCCCTCACGACCCCGCTTGGGATAAGCGTGACACAAAATGAATTAATGAATGAATGGATGGATGGATGGATGGATGGATGGTTGGTTATTAAGTTTTAGGTTTATTTTTTTCATTTATGTAGCTCTTAGATTAAAATCTTTATGGCCTGGAATTTACAGTAAATAAGTATTGGATTGACCTCCATCTTGCAGATCCCATGATCACCCCTTCCTTTTCCTGTCTAGTTCTCTTTGACCTGAGAGTTACCCTCCTAGTGTCATCCACCAAAAGCTGACATTTATATTTACGGCTTTTTTCTGAAATGAGAACTGCTCTACTTACGTCATAGGTTGACGCTCTGTGCGCAACATCAGTAAAACGCCATTTTAAACTCCTCGGCTGGCTTTTCTTTCCATAAATCATGGTTAAAACTAAACTGTAAAAATGTCTGCAATGGAAATGAGTCTATGGTATGAAGATTAAGTTTTTTTTCTAACCAACTGAATCTACAACAGATTAAATAACATTAGGTTTGCTAAATGATAATTCCAGATTCAGATGTTTTATGTCCCCCAAACCAAAAAGTGATTCAATTATTCTTGTCTGGAAGAATTATTCAACTAAAGCAAAACCCAGACTGCTTTTCTCATCCAGCTATCCTACTAGTTTTACATCTAGAGGTATTTTTGATATATTTAAAGGAATCTAACCTGTTATGTTTCATGTAAAATCCATCAAAAGCTGTCTATAAATTGATTTTTAATATTTCTTAAAGAGGAAAAAAAACAGATTCTGATCCTTTTTATTCCGCTATTAAGGGTACGCACAAGATTATACACGTTTATTTCAATGTAGCATTAGCAACATTAGCAATTAGCGATGGTTCTTTTATTATTGTTTCCTTACAACCTATACAAGAAAAGTTAAACAATTAGCAACATTTACCAACTGCCTGTAGGTGAGTCCATGATTTTTGGAGTCGCCCCTTTGGGTTGAATAGAAACTGAAGTAATGATAGCAAGGCATGCTAATGCAGTGCTTTAAAGGATTTACTGTAATATAGGAGGTCGACCCAAACTGCCTACTCCTGTAGGTCTCTAAAGTTTGAATAACATGCCCTCACAAAAAAAATAACCAAAAATGACCCATTCTCATAATCTGGATTTTCCTGGCTGATTTTAATTGAAGCCCAAAACAAACATAAACAATTGTACATGAAAAAGTCAGAATTCGCCACATTATCCTTTTATTTAACAAGAAGAAAGCTGAAGTTGTATTAAACCTCATTGCTTCATGCGTTGAAAAGTTTCCATCTTTTCTGTTAAAAATTCAAACTGTTTTCTAGATCTGGTTGCATATTAAACAGAAAACAGTAGAAAAGGTTATCTGTATGCTTCCTTCCCAATCTTATCTCTAATTTATTCTATATTTGTTCATTGATCACAGCATC